CATGCCTGTAATCCCAGCACTTTGGGAGGCCGAGCTGGGCAGATCACCTGAAGTTGGGAGTTCCAGACCAGTCTGACCAACATGGAGAAACTCCGCCTCTACTAAAAATACAAAATTAACTGGGCATGGTGGTGCATGCCTGTAATCCTAGCTACTTGCGAGGCTGAGGCAGGAGAATCGCTTGAACTTGGGAGGTGGAGGTTGCGGTGAGCCGAGATTGTGCCATTGCGCTCCAGCCTGGGCAACAAGAGTGAAACTCTGTCTCAAAAAAAAAAAAAAAAAAAAAGAATAAGGGTGAACAGGGCCGGGCGTGATGACCCACGCCTGTAATCCCAGCATTTGGGAGGCCAAGGCGGGCAGATTACCTGAGGTCAGGAGTTCGAGACCAGCCTGGCCAACATGGTGAAACCCCATCTCTACGAAAAATACAAAACTTTGCTGGGCATGGTGGCGTGTGCCTGTAGTCCCAGCTACTTGCAAGGCTGAGGCAGGAGAATCACTTGAACCCGGGAGACAGAGGTTGCAGTGAGCCGAGATTGCACCATTGCACTCCAGCTTGGGAGACAAGAGGGAAACTCCATCTTAAAAAAAAAAAAAAAAAGAAGGAGAAGAAAGAAGAAGAAGAGTGATAGGGCCGGGTGCGGTGGCTCATGCCTGTAATCCCAGCACGTTGGGAGGCTGAGGCGGACAGATCACTTGAGGTCAGGAGTTCGAGAGCAGCCTGGGCAACATGGTGAAACCCCGCCTCTACTAGTAAGACAAAAATTAGCTGGGTATGGTGGCATGCTTCTGTAATTGCAGCTACTCAGATGACTGAGGGAGGAGAATCGCTTGAACTCGGGAGGCCGAGGTTGCAGTGAGCTGAGATTGTGCCACTGCACTGCAGCCTGGGTGACAGAGTGAAACCGTGTCTTGAAAAAATAATAATAATAATAAGGGTGATAGGCCCTGTCTTGTCCTGTCAGCAGTTTCTGTCTGTGTTGTGAGGCTCAGGAGGGTATAAGTTATTTGCACCTGAGAGGATTCCCCAGGCAGGAGGCAAGGCATAGAGCTTGAAAAAGTCCATTCCATATAAATGTCTCTATTGTTTTTGTGATAAAATCTGCAAGAAGTGTGACTGGATCAAATCTTTTTTCATGAGGATACACAAGGGTGCAAAAGCATTGTGAAGGGGAATGGACTAGAAAAGAAAGCATCAACATAAATTATTCTTCCAAGTAGGACAAGTTTACAAATGCCCACGACTTCCATGCAGGCATCAGAGAAGGAAGCATGAGCTGCTTTCATGGAGGCTTAGTAGGAAAAAGGTCTATTTTGAACCTGTAATTCCTGCTTGATTTTTCCACCTTTTTATGTGATTGTCTTGCTCTGTCACCAGGCTGGAGTGCAGTGGCCTGATCTCAGCTCACTGCAACCTCCACCTCCTGGGTTCAAGTGATTCTCGTGCCTCAGACTCCTGAGTAACTGGGACTACAGGTGCGCACCACCACACCTGGCTAATTTTTGTATTTTTAGTAGAGACCGGGCTTCACCACATTGGCCAGGCTGGTCTTGAACTCTTGACCTCAGGTGACCCACCCACCTCAACCTCCCAAAGTGCTCAAAGTGCTGGCATTACAGGCGTGAGCCACTGCACCCGGCCACTCATGGATTCATTCTTGCATTCCAAGTGTGTTTGAGCTTCTCCTGGGAGCTGGGTCTCATGCTGGGCACTGTGCTGAGTGCTGAGGAGACATGGTGAACAAGATGAGCATGGCTCCTACCTTCATGAAACTAACCATCTAGAGTGGAGAGAAAACATTATAAATGGGATGAATGTGCAGACGTGCAAGGTGTTGTGGGTATCTGGTCTAGGAGTATTGATCGGGGACAACTTCCCCTAAGAGGTGATGGTTAAGCTGAGAACTGAGGCACTGTCGGGTTTGTAAAGTGAAGGACAAGAAACAACTGACCACTTTCTTTTTTGTCACAGAATCTCGAATCCTGACCTTCTTAGAAACCTACCTTGCCTCGGGTCATCAGAAGCCATTGCCCACAGTCCCTGGGGGACTCAGTCCAGTTCAGAGAGAGCTGGAGGAAGTTGCTATTAAATTTGCTCGCCTGGTCAACTATAACAAGATGGTCTTCTGTCCCTACTATGATGCAATCCTCAGTAAGATCCTCGTCCGATCCTAACGTGTATGCACCCTACAGCAGCAGTATTACTCACTAGCCGCAGAATACCTGTTCTCAACTCTAATGTTGCATTGGAAAATGGCTATATAGTACATGTCTATTTAACAGCACCGATTCCAAAGGGAAGAATATTGTGTATCACTGTTGAAAAGACTTGTTGAAAAATTCAGTGAATTCTATTTTGAGAGATTGTATTTATGAGTGCAAGTTTACAAATCAAAGAAGCTTTTTGTTCTCGAGTTTTATAGGTAACACTCGGCTGTGTCTCCACTCCTCCCCCATCATGTCCTTCTAAGGAGGCTCTTCTGCAATCTGGGTAGTTCTTTCAGATGCCCCATGCTGAGCTGACAGCCATCCAAGCGCAAAAGAGACCAAGCCATGGCCTCACCTCCTGCCCTCCCTCGGACAGCCTCGTCCCTCACCCCTCCCTCCGGGTAGTTTTGTTAGAAGGGCTACATAACGTCTTATTGCCATTTTCTCCCCCTATTTATTGCTTCCTCCCTGCCTGGCCTAGCCAGGGCTCCCAGGCCCTTTTTTCTAGGGAGAGTTATTTGTCTCTCTGTCTTTTTTCTTTTTTACTTTTTTAAAAAATATTTAAACATTCTTTCTTTTAACCGTCCCCCAAAGATACAGAGTTATTGGACTTTAAAAAGCTTGTTCTTTTATACAAAATTACTCCTGCATCTAGCTGAGAGCAGTTATGACTTATGAGATCTAGTGAAAGGAAATTATTTGACTTTTAAGCCTTGAAAATCAAGGAGGAAATGTTTTGAAAAATACTTTACTGTAATGTAAAGGAAGAGAAATGTCTGGAATTCTTACTGAAAAATTGACTCTGAGACAATACGCAGATGTGTTGATTGAATTAAATTCTGGAATTAGATTTAACTGTTTTCAGATAAAATAGCTTGAGTTCACGAATCTCCTAAATAAGGAAGTCATAGAAAATCCCTGGTGTTTGAGCATTATTTTTCGAGGAACTTCAGTGACCAGAATTCCTGACATGTCCTCTGAGTGTGAGTGATTTGGGTCGCATAGATGATCTGTTCTGTTTTTGTTGTTTTTTTTTTTAAGTGTACACGTGCATGTGTGCATTTTAGACAGGGACATTATATTAGAAGCAGAGCCATGAAACTGGAATGACCTCCAACTGCCAGAAAAGCAAGTAATATCGGCACCTAAAGCCTTCTGGACAGGAAGCTAAGAGAAACTTAGAAGCTGGCCGGGCGTGGTGGCTCATGCCTATAATCCCAGCACTTTGGGAGGCCGAGGCAAGCAGATCATCTGAGGTCAGGAGTTTGAGACCAGCCTGGGCAACATGGTGAAGCCCCATCTCTACTAAAAATACAAAAATTAGCTGGGTGTGGTGGCACGCACCTGTAATCCCAGCTACTTGGGAGGCTGAGGCAGGAGAATCGCTTGAACTCGGGAGGCAGAGGCTGCAGTGAGCTGAGATCGCACCACTACATTCCAGCCTGGGCAACAGAGTGAGACTCTGTCTTAAAAAAAAAAAAAAAGAAAAGAAAAGAAACTTGGAAGCCATTTCAGAAAGACTCCAGGAAGGCTAGCAGTCGTTCCTACACAACCAGGGGGAAGGACTACATTTTACTGCAAGCAGCTGTTTTCTCTGATCCTTCTTTGTAAGGAAATGCAGTGATTTTGTGTTTTCAAGGAAGACTTGAAGAAGCAGTTGGGTAGGTATTCCAGTAGGACTGATGGGGAGGAAAGCAGATACTCCATGAGAAGGGTATCAGACCCAGAAGAGTCAGAATACATTCTGCTTTTAGGATTTTTGAGATTGCTGATGGTCCCAGGGTTTATACAAGGGCTTGGATCTGGCTGTAGAAACTCAGGTAGAAATTACATGTATGCAGATCAGAGCTGATGTTGGTTCTAATCTATAATGATGTGATAAATTAAAACAAAAAACAAAACAAAAAACAGAGCTGGGCATGGTGGCTTACACTATAATCCCAGTACTTTGGGATGCCACAGCAGGAGGATCACCTGAACGCAGGATTTCAAGTCCAGCCTGGGCAACATAGTGAGATCACATCTCTACAAAAAATACAAAAAAAAATTAGCCTGGCATGGTGGCACACATTTGTACTCCCAGCTACAAGCTGAGGCTGAGGCAAAAGGATTGCTTGCACCCAGGAGTTCAAGGATGCAGTGAACTATGATCGTGCCACTGTGCTCCAGCCTGGGTGACAGAGCCAGACCCTGTCTCTCCTCAACAATAAACGTAGAGCCAGATGTATCTTTTTGGGTCCCAGACAGGAGACTGGAGAATCTGGGTCTCTGTAATCTGGCAGACTGGCCGCATTTTGTGAGGGTACTTTTATTAATATTTATTATTTTTTGTTTGTTTGAAGGTGTGTTTTTTTTTAATAGAAAACATATCACTTCATTTGTTACAGCAAATGATTCAAGAGGGCCCCAGAAAGCTTTTTCATCCACAGAATTACAGAAAGGATAAGTACCCTCACCACCCAAGCCTTTGGTTCATTTTGTTGTTTTGTTTTAATCTCTGTTCTCTTACCACAATGACATGCTGCATCCAGAATGGAACTCTATGTTCAAGTTTTTTTTTTTTTTTTTTTTTTCGAGATGGAGTCTTGCTCTGTCACCCAGGCTGGAGTGCCGTGGTGCGATCTCAGCTTACTGCGAACTCCGACTCCCGGGTTAAAGCGATTCTCCTACCTCAGACTCCTTAGTTGGGATTACAGGCACGTACCACCACGCCTGGCTAATTTTTGGATTCTTAGTAGAGACGGGGTTTCACCATGTTGGCCAGGCTGGTCTCAAACTCTTGACCTCGTGATCCATCCGCCTCGGGCCTCCCAGAGTGTTGGGATTACAGGCATGAGCCACCGCACTTGGCCTGTCTTTAAGTTTTATACTAGTTACGAGGCTAGTCTATCAGAATGTCCCTAATTTAGCTGAGGAACCTGGACAAGTCTTCCTTGATTTCAGCTTCATCCCAAGGCCCGTGAATGTTTTCTTTAAAAAGCTGCAGGCGAATGAGGTAAAATGAACAGAGACATGAGATAGAAGTCAATAGAAGGGCAAAGAGTATGGCTCCCACAGCTCTTCCAAGGCCAAAAAGGCAAAAAGCAGTGTAACCACTACATAGCCCTTGGGAGTCCATGCCTTTAGTTTCTCCTGTAACATGAGCCACAGGACAAAAATCTGGATGGCAAGTGTTACCATGATGGAGACATGGAGGGACTGGGGAAGGCGTGAAGCCAAGCCTCCAGAAGCCAAGATGGCTGTGTTCAAGGATAGTTACTGGATACAATGGATACAAAGGCATCATTGGCACCATAGTTAAAAGAGATGAGGTGGCCTAACAGCGTGAAGAGCAACATGGCCTAGATGGTGTCAGTGCTGACAGACTCTGGCAGGGTCTTAGCACTGGTGAAAAGCCATAAGTGAAAGTAATGAAGACTAGGGCACTTTTCAGGTCAGCCCACCGGATCCACCCACTCTTCTGCCCTTCACTTCCATCAGTGAGCTCAAACAAAATATACCCGATCAGTGAAGAAGCCAGGACAGTCCCAACAAGCCAGTGGGGGGCCAGAAGACCCTCATCCATATACCACCAGATAACCAGAAACACACAAATACTGCACAGCTGCAGGATCAACACACTGGACTCAAATACCACAGCCCAATATTGGTATTTCCGAGCATGGATGTTTTTCCGGAACTCTTCCAGGAACCGCCAGTCCACACAGTTATCAGGAAATGGCTGTTGCTCATACAAGACCCTGTGCCACTTTACCTCCTTTGTGTTAGTTACAGGTTGGGCACACATTATCCTTTCATTCAAACTCAGGCCAGTTTAATCATCCCTCTCATAGAGGTCCATGTGGTTCTTGTTGATGACATTTTGAAATGAGACCTCCCTGGAAATTCCATGTCTTGGTTGATATTCTACCGACCTTTCCTGGTTTTCAGAGGCAGCAATCCAGGCCAGGCCTACAATAGATGAGTTTGTCTCTGAGGCAGGATAATACAGCCAAGTTCCTGCCTGAGAGTTCCTGGGCACGCGTGGCTGGGGGATGGCAGTTGCCTGCCTTTTTCCTTGTAAGGGTACTTTTTTTTTTTTTTTTTTGAGATGGAGTCTGGCTCTGTCACCCAGGCAGGAGTGCAGTGGCACCATCTCGGCTCACTGCAACCTCTGCCTCCTGGGTTCACGCCATTCTCCTGCCTCAGCCTCCTGAGTAGCTGGGACCACAGGCGCCTGGCACCATGCCTGGCTGATTTTTTTGTATTTTTAGTAGAGACGGGGTTTCACTGTGTTAGTCAGGATGGTCTCAATCTCCTGACCTCGTGATCCACCCGCCTCGGCCTCCCAAAGTGCTGGGTTTACAGGCGTGAGCCACCACGCCCGGCCGTGAGGGTACTTTTAAAGAAGATAACATCTTCCATGGTGTATTCAATGAGGTCATGTCTGGAATTGTTCCCTTGAGGTGGAGGCTGCTCTGTGGCCACTGTGCCTGGCGGTTGTATGATCCTGGGTTCCTGGGCTGAGAAGCCTCAGCCTCAGAGTGTTTGGGGCCTTTTCGTCCCGCTCCAAGACTGAAGGAGAGGAGCTTACCCCCAACTGCACAGCGCTGATCACCACTTCCTGCAGTCATTCTTCCCAAATCTCAAAAACTCTTCTTTTTTAAGAGTAGATTCTTGCAAGGTATTTTTCCCCTCCTGAGTTCTTACATTGCCAGAGTTCCATTTGTACAGTTTGAAATCTTGAGGCATGAATAACTGACTTCACAGATTCTCTTGGCCCCCCACTACCTCGGTGTCCACTGGTGGAATTCTGCAACTGGGCAAAAGTCAAGAATGAAGGAAGCAAACTTCAGAACCACAATATTCATATTGAATCATTTTGTTGTTGCTCTATGAAGATAAGTAAGCTAATTTTCTTCCTGGAATCTCATAGGATTATTACTAAGGGCCAGGGAGATCCGCTTCGTTCATTTAGTCACTCAGGAAGCATTGCTAAGCATCCCCTCTACCGTCCCCTACAGCTCTCCTTCCAAAATGAAACATCCTTTGGAGTGTGTTGTCCTTCAGAATCGAATGGATTCTATATGCTGCATTCAGTAACAGGTTGTGGAGACAAGTGTCTCTTCCTGAAATTGCTAAGTGTATTTGGCAGTAGTACTTTACTACTTGTGGATAGAACTGAGAGTGAGGTCAGTATCACCAAGCCTCTTGGATTTCTTCAGTAGTCTCATGGATGAATGAATGTTTAGAGCAGTAACTGCTACTTTGTTGGCTCTTGGTTGGGTGGATGGATTCTCAGTCCTGGTGTTTTTAAAAATCTCATTCCGGCCGGGCACGGTGGCTCGCACTTGTAATCCCAGCACTTTGGGAGGCTGAAGCGGGCGATCACCTGAGGTCAGGAGTTTGAAACCAGCCTGACCAACATGGCAAAACCCTTCTCTATTAAAAATACAAGAATTAGCCGGGTGTGGTGGCACGTGCCTGTAATCCCAGCTACTCGGGAGGCTGAGGCAGGAGAATCACTTGAACCCTGGAGGTGGAGCTTGCAATGAGCCGAGATTGCACCATTGCACTCCAGCCTGGGTGACAGAGTGAGACTCCGTCTCAAAAAAAAAAAAAAAAAATCTCATTCCGTCTAAAGCAAGCTACAAAATGTGATTATTTATGTCACAATATGACTCAGCCATAAATGTACTTCAGGTAAGAAGCACACTAACATGATATCTTACTGATCAAATGCAGTCGGTAGATATATATGAATTTTTTTCTCTGTGAAGAAAAGCTATTAATAAGTTTGACTTAATAGGCCTATAGTATGCACATACTGGCCAAGATTCTAAATGGATTGTTCAGCAGTTGTGTTTTTGTGGAGGTGCTTATTCTCATTTCTCCAAAGCCTTAAGATTCCTGGGAATAGAGGAAATGTTGCTGCCACCAACTTTGCTGGTGAATTTCAAAGAGAATAGGTGTTTGCTGTTTGATTTCCGGTGACCTTTTGGCGAGCTCTGATGTATATGTAGAACATTTGTGTTTCTTTCCATTTTGAGGCCAGGTGGTAGAGTGGAAAGACTGGGAGCTGTCAGGAAACCAGGGCTCGGATCTCCACTCTGTTATGTACCAGCTGGGGCAAATCAGGGTCCATTCCCAACTCCTTTAAAATGAAAAGACTAGACTTGGTCTTTAAGCTCCCTTCCGATTCTAACATTTTGTGGTAGCAGGATTGTGCACAAAGAATTAGAGAAATATCTGGTTTTAGTCTTTTTTCCTCTATCGCCGCCTTACTGGTTGTACAACATTGAGCCAGTCATTCTCCCCAAGGCCTCAGTATTTTCATTGTTAATTGGGTACACTCCTAATTCACATTGTTGCTGTGAGGATTACATTTGGTAATGAATGTTAGAACGCTTTGTACGTGGAAAAGGACTATACCTTTCTTTTTTAACTACAAAGGCGAACATGTTAACCCCGTACCTGTAGGCGCACATCTGCTATGGTGTTACATTCCACTGTTAGTGCCCAACCTCCCTTCTGTCAACCACATTTTACAGGCCTGTAGGGAAGGTTTTCTTCCTGTCCTCTCCCAACACTTGTTTACGTTCATCATCTCTTCTGTACTAGAGCTGCAGTCTTACGTTTGCTTACTTCCTGACATCCACCTCCACCCCAGTGATTTCTCCCCATCTCCAGCTCTATATTATTTGAACTAAATGAATCCATGAATGAACCAATGAGTGGATGAATGAATGATAATGGATAATGGTCTATGAAGTCATATTTAAAGGCACTGTCTCATTTGTAAACAATCTAAATAAATAACTACAATGATATTTGCAAGTGTGTATCTATATTGGATTTTGCATTATATAATAATTTTAATGGAAAGTCTTTTTAGTCATAGTATTCAAAGCAACTTCAAGGGCTGGGGAAGGGGATAACCTTTAAGCCCAGGTAAGCTCTGTTTATTAAACTATCAAATGTTCACCGGTACTTTCAGAAATAGCCAGAGTTCTACAAAATATGTGTTAAGTCTAAATAGATATAATTCTACTTAAAACTGTCCCTCATGTGGGTTTCTGTCACACCTGACTTACATTTATTACCTACCAAACTTAAGAACCAGAACTAAGCTATAGGCCTGGTTCGATGGAGTGTCACTTTTCTTGACTTAAAAGTTAGCTTAAAACAAGAAGGGCCGGGTGAGGTGGCTCACGCCTATAATCTTAGCACTTTGGGAGGCTGAGGCAGGCAGATCATTTGAGGCCAGGAGCTCTAGACCAGCCTGGGCAACATGGCTCTATTAAAAGTACAAAAAGTAGCCGGGCGTGGTGGCATACACCTGTGCTCCCATCTCAGTAGGCTGAGGTGGGAAGATTGCTTGAGCGCAGGAGGCAGAGGTTGCATTCAGCCAAGATCACACCACTGCATTCCAGCCTGGGTGACAAAGTGAGACCCTATCTCAAAAAAAGAAAAATGAAGAAGGGCTGCACATGGTGGCTAATCCCAGCACTTTGGGAGGCTGTCGTGGGAGGACTGCTTGAGCCCAGGAGTTCAAGACCAGCCTGGACAATACAGGGAGATCCTGTTTCTACATAAAATTTTAAAAAGTAACTGGGCATGGTGGATGGTGGTTTATGCCTGTGGTCCCAGCTACTTGGGAGGCTGAGGTGGGAGGATTATGCTATGATCATGTCTCAAAACAAAAAGACTTCTGAAAATTTGTATTTTCTTTTGTTTTGATTGTTTTTGAGATGGAGTCTCATTCTGTTGTCCGGGCTGGAGTGCAGTGGGACAATCTTGGCTCCCAAGCTCAAGTAATTCTCCTGCCTCAGCCTCCCTGAGTGGCTGGGATTGCAGGCGTGTGCCACCACGCCCAGCTAATTTTTATATTTTTAGTAGAGAGAGGATTTCACCATGCTGCCCAGGCTGGTCTTGAACTCCTGACCTTAGGCGATCTGCTCGCCTTCCGTGCCTGGCTGAAATTTTTATTAAGTAAAACATAAGTTCTCTTGCTCATTGTTATAGTCAAAGAACTACTATGTTAAAAAAAAAAAAAAGCAGAATTTATGAACATGATGACTATGGTTTAATAAAATTGAACTCAACATTTATTTATTAACTATAGGCCAATACTGGGTTATAATATCAAATAAATTCATAATTATTGACCAAGGTCAATATACTAACAAAAATGGTGTTTTTTTCATTCTTTTTCATTGGTACAATTTGATTGTTCAGAAAGTTTACTAGTAGTTTCTATTAACCTTTTACTGTGGCCACATAGGTGCAACCTCTTGTTTGAAGTTTAGTGGTAAAGGCCAGAGTTGACTAATTTTTGTTTAGGAAGGACATACATACAGTCCTTGAAACTTTTGTCTAGTTCTAGAATCTTGAGGAGATGCTGTCATTGCTTTTATAAACAGGAAAAAGATGGATATCTTTTGGCAAATTCTTTGGGTCCAGCAATACTGATATGAGTCCTTGGAACTGTAGGACTGACTATCCCATGAGTCTGCACATTAGATTTCCAAAGGTAAGTTCACATGTCTAACATGCTGCTTGTTGAACTGTTTAACAAAAGGAATGATCAAATATCAGGCAGAATCACCTTAAAAACTAAAAATTCATACATATCTGTAGCAGTTAGAGCATTCAAAAATGTTTTCTTCTAATGAGAATCCTTTTTATGCTCAAAGAGCTGATCATTTCTAGGGTAAAAAATCTTATAAATAAATGCAATAGGAACAGTTATAATATACATAGTAGCCTTAACAATAATTGGTACAGTTTGAATCTGTGTCCCCACCAAATCTCATGTCAAATTGTAATCCCCAGTGTTGGTGGTGGGGCTTGGTGGAAGGTGATTGGTCGGGGGAGGGGGGCGAAGTTCCCATGAATGGGTTAGCACCATCCCCTCGGTGCTGTTCTTCTGATAGTGAGTTCTCGTGAAATCTGGTTGTTTAAAAGTGTGTGGCACCTCCCTCCTTTCTTCATCCTGCTCTGGCCATATAAAACGTCCCTCTTCTCCTTCATCTTCTGCCATGATTATACATTTTCTGAGGCTTCCCCAGAAGCAAATGCCACTATTCTATCTGTACAGCCTACAGAACCATGAGCCAGTTAAGCCTCTTTTCTTTAAAAATTACCCAGTCACAGGTATTTCTTTTTTTTTTTTTTGAGAGGGAGTCTCGCTCTGTCACCCAGGCTGGGATGCAGTGGCCGGATCTCAGCTCACTGCAAGCTCCGCCTCCCGGGTTTACGCCATTCTCCTGCCTCAGCCTCCCGAGTAGCTGGGACTACAGGCGCCCGCCACCTCGCCCGGCTAGTTATTTTTTGTATTTTTTAGTTGAGATGGGGTTTCACCTTGTTAGCCAGGATGGTCTCGATCTCCTGACCTCGTGATCCGCCCGTCTCGGCCTCCCAAAGTGCTGGGATTACAGGCTTGAGCCACCGCGCCCGGCCCACAGGTATTTCTTTATAGCATTGTCGGAATGGACTGATAGGTGATTAAAGACAATTTTCACCAAGTGTGTGTGTGTGCGCGCACGCACGCGCTAAAAAACGTTTTTTCATGCATGTTTGCGTGGCTTTGTTTTATTGTTTATGGGAACACTTTTGCAGATCACTTACTTACAAGTATTTGAAACTGTTTTGTCTTTTTTTTTTTTTTTTTTTGAGACGGAGTTTGAGTTTCGCTCTTGATGCCCAGGCTAGAGTGCAATGGTATGATCTTGGCTCACTACAACATCTGCTTCCCAGGTTCAAGCAATTCTCCTGCCTCAGTCTCCCAAGTAGCTGGGATTGTAGGCATGTGCCACCATGCCCAGCTAATTTTGTATTTTTAGTAGAGACGGGGTTTCACCATGTTGGTCAGGCTGGTCTCGAACGCCTGACCTCAGGTGATCCGCCTACCTCAGCCTCCCAAAGAGCTGTGATTATAGGCGTGAGCCACCTCGCCCGGCCTGTTTGTCTTCTTCAAAACACTAACTGTGGAGTCCTAATTAGGGAAAGGGAGTCAGGCTGCTAGGAACAGGGAGAAGCAGATAAATTATGAGTCTGCCTTTCTTCATGGTCCAGGACATGTAGCCGTACTGCACCCAGCTTATCACCAGACACCTTCAAGTTAGCTCACTGCAACCTTGGCATTCTCAGTAGTACATAAAACCCTCTTCAGCACATAGCACCATCCTATAAAATCCCCAGCAAGCCTTTGTCTCTTTGCAGACAAGCCCCATCTCTGCCTGTTCCAGCCTTGCAGTGCATCTTCATACCTTCTCTAACCTACCTTTCTCTACCTACAATCGTCTTGGTAAGTTTCTTCTTACCCCCACACCATCAGCCCCAGATAGTCGCTGCTCACCCATGACACTAACCACCAAAAATGGCACTTCAGGAACAAGTCTACACCTCTATATTTTATTTTTGAAACAGGGTCTCACTCTGTCGCCCAGGCTGGAGTACAGTAGTGCGATCATGGTTCACTGCAGCCTTGGCCTCCTGGGCTCAGGTGATCCTCCCACCACAGCCTCCAGAGTAGCTGGGGCTACAGGCTTGTGCTACCATGTCCAGCTAACTTTTTTTTTTTTTTTTGGTATTTTTAGTAGAGACGGGGTTTCACTATGTTGGCCAGCTGGCCTCGAACTCCTGGCCTCAAGTAATCTTCAGCCTCCCAAAATGCTGGGATTACAGGCACAAGCCACTGTGCCCAGCCTACACCTCTATATTTTAAAGTCTATGCCATATGGTACTACTTGTGTCTTTTTTTTTTTTTTTTTTTTTTTTTGAGAGTCCCACTCTGTCACCCAGGCTGGAGTGCAGTGGTGCTCTCTCGGCTCACTGCAACCTCTGCCTCACAGGTTCAAGCAATTCTTACGCCTTCGCCTCCCAAGTAGCTGGATTTACAGGCTTGTGCTACCATGCCCAGCTAATTTTTTTTGGTATTTTTAGTAGAGACAGGGTTTCACTATGTTGGCCAGGCTGATCTTGAACTCCTGGCCTCAAATAATCTGCCCGCCTCGGCCTTCCAAAGTGCTGGGATTTACAGGCGTGAGCCACCGCACCTGGCCTACTTGTGTCTTAAGTTTTGATGGTAACTGTGATATTTTTTAAAAACTCACAACTTGAAAGTGATACTTGAAAGGGTAAGAAAGTCTGAATTAGAGGCAGCTGACTTTGTTTTGAGAGGCGATTTTAGCTTTAATGGGAAAATACTGGAAACTAAACACACTTTTGACCAATTTATATAACCTTGCTACATATAAATTTATATGACAAAATGATTCAGGATAACTTTTCTTTTACAAGTAAGGCTTTTGTGGGCCATCTGAAGCTGATTTTAAATGTCAGATTATTTAATCACATCTGAATTCAAATTCTAAACTGTCTAAATTGTTTCTAATATGTAAGATCATTTCTTTATAACCATAATACTTGTCCTCCCCTCCTTTTTGTTTCCTTCCTGCTTTTTAGTTTTTAACACGTAAAGAGAAGAGGAGGTAATGTTACCAAAGAGCACAGTCTATTTCTTTGGACTTAATTTGCATGACAAGTTTTTGCTCACTGTAATTAGAATTTAGTTAAATAGATGTCATTTTCCTTAATGTTATCTATGTTTAGCTCATGGGAAAAAAAAGGTTCTTGAGAACTGGCCACGTGTGAAAATATTCAAGTTCAGTATCCCTAATCTGAAATCCAAAGTGTTCCAAAATCCAAAACCTTTTGGGTGTCAACATGATGCACAAAGAAAATGCTTAGTGGAGTTTTTTGGAATTTGGACTTTTGGATTAGGGATGGTGAACTGGTAAGTATGATGCAAATATTCTGAAATCTAAACAAATCCAAAATCCTGAACACTTCTGGTCCCAAGTATATTCAGATAAGGGACACTCTGTGTGAGAACAAGACAGCAGGTGGTTAAAGGAATTTCCACACTTAGGTTGCTTTCAAGAGAGACAAAAGTATTAACAGGATCTTAATCTGCCTCAGATTTACTGGGGAGCAAATGCATTCATATTTGAGGATTTCTAAAATGGTAGAGGCTGAGGTGGATCACGAGGTCAGGAGATCGAGACCATCCTGGCTAACAAGGTGAAACCCCGTCTCTACTAAAAAAATACAAAAAAACTAGCCAGGCAAGGTGGCGGGCGCCGGTAGTCCC